GAGTGCGTGGTAGCGTGTGGTGCGTCCGTAAAGTGGATTTTGTTGACGGGTGGGAGACGAGTGAAGTATCCGGGGATGTAGCTCAAATGGTAGAGCGCTCGCTTAGCATGCGAGAGGTACAGGGATCGATACCCTGCTTCTCCAGGCGTGTGTAGTATAGTGGTCAGTACCTCACCTTGTGGCGGTGAAATCCCTGGTTCGAATCCGGGCACGCGCACTCTTATGCTCATTATGCTGCTTTTACGTGCGCGTTATGGACGCTGCGCCGCCCCTAGCCGTCGCCATGCACACCCGCCACGCTCTCGGTCCCCAATTACCGCTTTTTGTCGCCTTTCAGCCTACCGGCGTGAGCGGTCCCGGCCGCTCTCCTTTTATCGCCCTCACGACGACACTGCTGCGGTGCGACTCGATGGCATTGTCTTGGGGCTCGGTCTAGTAACGTAGTGGAGCTGTAGTACCTCCCGCGTCGTCGGAGCTCACCAGGCCACCGGAGAGAGTGGATGAAGCGCCCCGAATGGCCGTCCTGGCAGTAGGAGGGTCGTCCGGCGGACAGTCGTTGTGCCGTCCAAGTCGCTCCGGCGCGAGCCAAAGAGGCGGAACACGCAGCGGACGAGCTCACGGTCGAGTTGTGGAGGCTGAGCGCGCCGTGCGCGAGGCGGCATGTGTGGAAAGAGCGTGCGATCGGTTTGGGCCGTGCGGAGGCATGTACGCGAGTTTTGGTGTGCGGATTGTGCGTAACGGAGGCGCGATGGGTGGTTGACGATTGCGGTACGGCGGAGAGTGCGTGGTAGCGTGTGGTGCGTCCGTAAAGTGGATTTTGTTGACGGGTGGGAGATGAGTGAAGTATCCGGGGATGTAGCTCAAATGGTAGAGCGCTCGCTTAGCATGCGAGAGGTACAGGGATCGACACCCTGCTTCTCCAGGCGTGTGTAGTATAGTGGTCAGTACCTCACCTTGTGGCGGTGAAATCCCTGGTTCGAATCCGGGCACGCGCACTCTTATGCTCATTATGCTGCTTTTACGTGCGCGTTATGGACGCTGCGCCGCCCCTAGCCGTCGCCATGCACACCCGCCACGCTCTCGGTCCCCAATTACCGCTTTTTGTCGCCTTTCAGCCTACCGGCGTGAGCGGTCCCGGCCGCTCTCCTTTTATCGCCCTCACGACGACACTGCTGCGGTGCGACTCGATGGCATTGTCTTGGGGCTCGGTCTAGTAACGTAGTGGAGCTGTAGTACCTCCCGCGTCGTCGGAGCTCACCAGGCCACCGGAGAGAGTGGATGAAGCGCCCCGAATGGCCGTCCTGGCAGTAGGAGGGTCGTCGGGCGGACAGTCGTTGTGCCGTCCAAGTCGCTCCGGCGCGAGCCAAAGAGGCGGAACACGCAGCGGACGAGCTCACGGTCGGGTTGTGGAGGCTGAGCGCGCCGTGCGCGAGGCGGCATGTGTGGAAAGAGCGTGCGATCGGTTTGGGCCGTGCGGAGGCATGTACGCGAGTTTTGGTGTGCGGATTGTGCGTAACGGAGGCGCGATGGGTGGTTGACGATTGCGGTACGGCGGAGAGTGCGTGGTAGCGTGTGGTGCGTCCGTAAAGTGGATTTTGTTGACGGGTGGGAGATGAGTGAAGTATCCGGGGATGTAGCTCAAATGGTAGAGCGCTCGCTTAGCATGCGAGAGGTACAGGGATCGACACCCTGCTTCTCCAGGCGTGTGTAGTATAGTGGTCAGTACCTCACCTTGTGGCGGTGAAATCCCTGGTTCGAATCCGGGCACGCGCACTCTTATGCTCATTATGCTGCTTTTACGTGCGCGTTATGGACGCTGCGCCGCCCCTAGCCGTCGCCATGCACACCCGCCACGCTCTCGGTCCCCAATTACCGCTTTTTGTCGCCTTTCAGCCTACCGGCGTGAGCGGTCCCGGCCGCTCTCCTCTTGTCGCCCTCACGACGACACTGCTGCGGTGCGACTCGATGGCATTGTCTTGTGGCTCGGTCTAGTAACGTAGTGGAGCTGTAGTACCTCCCGCGTCGTCGGAGCTCACCAGGCCACCGGAGAGA